GGGATGGTGAGGAGGGAAGGAGACAGGTGCCCCAAAGCGGGAATGGGGGGATGATTGCTACCAGGTGGGGAGAGATGGGTGAAGGGGGCATGAGCACAGGCTGGAGGCTCACACCCGTCCCACGTCCCTTTGGCACTGCAGCCTCCCACCCTATGGACCACATTTGGCCTCTGCTCCTGCTGTGGCTCTGGGCACCAGGAGACCCCAGGAAAATCCTGACCGGCGCAGCAGGACCATGGCCAAAGCCATGGGTGCACAAAGTGCCCAGGCTGCTGGGGAGGAGGCATTTGCATCCAGGTGCAGGGTGCTGCAAGGGCACTGCAGCATCTTGGAGGCTGCAGGGGGGCAGGAGCAGCCCCTCACTGACCTGCCAGGGGCTGCAGGGCCCCTCCTCCTGTTTCCCCAAGTCAAGACATGGGAGAGTGCACAGAGGAGATGCACAGAAAGGGAGCAAGACCCTGAGGAGGGGGGGTGAAAGCATGAGTTTCATCCATGGAAATTCATCCCTTGAGGGTCAAGTCTGCAACTCCGCAGCTGGCAGCTCCTCCCCAAAGCCCAGACCCTGGGGCAGGGGTGTGGGTTGCAGCTGGGTTCTGGCTCTGACACAGGACGCTGGGCACGGGATGCTGGATTTGGGATGCCGGGTGTGGGATGCTGTGTTCAGGTGCTAGGTGCCAGATTTGGGCTGCAGGGTGGGGTGTGAGGCCACGTGCAGCCGGGAGCGAGGGTGCTAGCGAGCAGCCTGGCTCCTGGTGCAGAGCAACGGGTGCTGGGAGGGCGTGGGAGGACCTGAGCACCAGCCGGTTTCACTGCTGCCTTCCCCTTCCTGCTGTGGGTGCCCTGACTCTGGCCTTATTACACTTGCAAAACGAAAGCAGTGTCAGCGTGTGAGTGCACTGGCAGCATCTCCCATCCTACAGTCCAGCACCCTGGCGAGTCTGTGGCAGTGGGGCCTGCAGTAGCTGGCCAGACACCCCTGGGGCACCCACCCCACTGCTGCCCCCACCTCCACCCCATCCCATGCTGAGGATTTCCTTAACCAGGCAGCAACCCACAGGGACAACGGGGATCCGTGGAGAAACAGGTAAGGGATGCTCCCCAAGTCAGCTGGAGCACCAGGGGGTCAGCCCTGGGATGGGCTTCAGGGATGCGGAGGCAGAAAGGACCAGAGAGCACCCAATGGGATGTGGGAAGGGCTGTGCTGTTGGTGCACTTGGGGTGCTGGGCTGTGGGGCGCAAGGCCCCCACTGCCACCCTGCCATGCTCCCCACAGCCACCCCGAGGCGCCAGTGTGCAGCATGCCCTGGGAGCTGGGAGGGATCCAGGGGACAGGGCAGGGTGCTGGGGTGCAGGCATCCATCCCGGCACGCGGGAAGCCCAGCAGGAAGGGGAGGGGAGGGAGGGGAGGCCTCGGCGAAGGGCCAGGCGAGGGGCGGCCCCCGGCGCACCCGTCATGCATTACTGGAAACATCTGGCCTGGGCTGCGGGGGGGTGTGCTGGCTGCACACACATGTGCACACATGCACATGGGTATGGGGACGAACACATGCACATATGTATTTATGGGTATCTGTATATCAGTACATGCATCCACACCTGTGTACACTTGTGTTCACATGTGCATATGTACCCATACATGTGTACACACACATACACAGGCATGGAGGTTTGCACACACATGTAGATGTCCACATACCGGTGTATGCATATAGATACAGACATGTACACTTGTACATGTACACACACGTACATGCACACCTAAATACATAGGTATACATGTACAGATTTGTATGCATGCACATGTATGTACACGTGCCAGCAATCACACTCGCTGCAGCATGCACATGCATGGACATACACACGATGCAACAGACACATGCACACACACACATGCACACACATGTACAACAGTCACACTAACCGCACGCATCCTGGCCAGAGCCTGGGGCCATCCCCCTGCCCGGGTTCGTCATGGTGCTGTGCCCTGGCAGTGTGAGTCTGTGCGTGTGCACGCTGCGTGCGGGTGTTCCTCTGCGTGTGCTTGTGGGTGTGGAAACGTGCGTGTGTATGCATGTGTGCCCTGTAGGAGCCTGTGTGTGACCATATGTCCCACATATGTCCACGTGTGCCATGTGCCTGTGCAAGCCTGCGTGTGCCCCTGGGTGTCCACGTGCCTGTGGGCTGCATGTGGGCTGTGAGTGCCCACGTGTGCCAAGTATGCCATGTGTGTGCCCAAGTGTGCCAAGTGCATAGTGTGCCCGTGTGTGCCGTGTGCCCACGTGTGCCCACATGTGCCTATGCACGCCTATGCACAGGGCGCAGCGTGCCCCCGTGCGCCCACGTGCCCGTGTGTGTCTGTGTGTGCCATGTGTACCTGTGTGCCCACGCGTGTGCATGTGTACCGCGTGTGCCCGCGTGTGCCCTGTGCGCTCTCACGCCCCGCGAGTGCCCGCCGGTGCCCGCGCCCCCGCTGCGGGTCCGGGTGCGGGTGCCGGAGCGGGGCGCTGGGGAGCGCGGCG